TATCAACCGACGACAAGTCTTCTAGCAAAGTGGAGTCTTCTTCGGGGGATAAAATGAAGATTGCTTGGAGATATGAGAGTTTAGGTTCCGCGGGGGCGGCAAGAGGTATGCTGAGAGCCAATCTCCGTAAACCGAGTCGTTTCATCATCAACTCACACGCTTATTAGATAGAGAAGCACAGAGGGCCCAGGGTGCGCCCAACGCCAGCACTACTACGCCCTTTTGCCACTCGTTTGATCTTACAAAAAGGTTATCCCCTGGCGACGTGAAGGGCCAGGTTGGATTCCATCAATCCATGACCTTTCCAGTGTCACAACAAACCTCTCCGCTCAAGCTCTTCATCAAAGACTTGTCATCAAAGCTGACGAATTCCCCGCCGGCAACTGTTCATCGTGTAATAGTTCCTAGTCTCTTGTCCCCAACAATGTACGCGAGTTCGTCTTCACATCCCCAGGAAGTGTTACAATTCTTGCACGCGTTGAGGGCACTTCTGAGACAGTACCCCAAGAGTTTGACCGCTATCATAACTCTACCTCTCTCGCTTTACCCCCGGACAACGGGCCTTACTCGATGGATGGAATTGTTATGTGACGGCGTACTCGAGTTTATACCATTACAGTCAACAACCATTCATAAGCCGCCACCATCGTCAAAGGGCAATGATAAGGACGATGAGAAGATTCAGGGTCTGATTAAAATCCACAGTCTACCCATTTTCCATGAAAAGGGAGGCGGCGGTTCACACTCAGCGTTGGATGATCAGTCTTTTAGCCTTAGCCGGTCAAAGGGGCTGATCATCAAACCGTTTTCTCTCCCCCCGGCTGATAGCGATGAACCTGATACCAAAGCAGGAGATGGGAAGCCGAAAAACATGGATTTTTAAGACTAATAGCTGCCACTTAATAAAAGTGATAACTCGGAAGCCTTCGAGATGAGATGCCTTGAACAACAAACCCAACTATGCCCGTCCATGACTGTCGTCGCACGAGCGAAATGTATACCGAGTCGATTATTAACTAGTGAAGCTATGCACATAGTGAGGGCCACGGGTTGCTGCATATCTAATCACGCTAAAAGATATTGGGCCGAGGTGCGGAGGAGCTTCCCCAACTCCAAGCTTTTCGAAAAATTTGACGAACTCGAAAACCTTCCCAACTCCCATTCCCACCACATCCAAACCACCAGCAGGTAAGTCAACAAACGACTTTTTTTTTCTCTCGCACTCTCCCTACAATGATTATACCAATTAATATCTGTCAATCCACTGAACAAACATATTATGTTGATAAAATCTATATCTGGTTTTTTTATGACTGTACATTCATCTTGCTCTACTGCATCAGGAAACTCAGAGAGACTGTGTCGACTAACTCGTCTCCTAGGCAGCAGAGTTGCCGATAACCATGAGAATGGCCTCTATATTACCTCATGATCGCCCTCTACTGAGGATAGCTAAAGTCGCCGGAAGGTACTTGCTTTTCGACATAGACGACGTGATGTACGTGCGCAGGCACTACAACATCTGCTCCGTCTTCGTAGGCACGTTACCGCAGAATCCCGAGCAGAACATTCTCATGGGACTGCCTCTCGAGCTTATGCCCGAAGAAGCCCAGGTTCTGGTCGAGAGGAAGGTGGCTTACGTTGCTGACGACACGGCGTTCCATCCATCTCGGCTAGCGGCGTTCGATGAGTCTTCCCGACGGGCGTACCTACGATTGCTCAAGAACCAGGGTAAGAAGTTACAAATTGCTGCGATTGAGAACAGCAATCGTCATAAGCCTTTGCGATATCAAGGAAAGCCTAAAAAGACCAAGGGCAAGGACACGAAGGACTCGGAAGGCCCATCTGTCAGTGATATTCCCAACGGGAATGCTGGGGCAGATGAAAGCACGAGTCTCTTTGACTCTGCACCTATACCACATAAAAATACCGAAACATCGCCCGTTGAGGTGGAAGGTTATGCACTCACGCCCACTACTAGCAGCTTTCTCTTGTTGCCGGACTCCGGGCCGGAGCCGTCTGCCTGTGTAGATGTCCCTGCTTCCTATCCCTTGTTTGCGCATCTGCACGACAAGGGATACTACATGATGCCAGGTCTTCGATTTGGCTGTGACTACAATGTGTATCCGGGCGATCCCCTACGCTTCCATAGTCACTTCGCTGGTGTTCATTTCGGTTGGGAGGAAGAAATCACTATGTTGGACCTCGTGGGAGGCGGGCGTCTTGCTACTTCTGTCAAGAAGGGATACCTCTTCGGCGGTGCTATAACTGATAACGCCGGTACCAAACAGGCTCGTGACAGCGACCGTGTCCTACAAGATAACAGCGACGGGCTGTCTAAAACCGATGGTGGGCAGGTGGCGCCGCCAGTCAGGGCATTTTGTCTGGAATGGGCTGGCATGTAACGACGAACCAGAATGCAGATGGTAAAATAGAAATAAAATAGAAGTTTAACATCAAGGTTCCGACCGGGAGGGGAGCAGGTTGGCCATACTGGTATGGGAGGTACGTAGTTTTATCCGTTGGCGTGGTTCCCCACCCCCATTCCGCTGCTTGCGCGTGTGGCAAATAAGCATCAAGGTTTTCTAGATATTCTAAATACTGCCTGGTGTAGATCTACCGTCCCAGCCTCCCAGGAACATCTATTCCCCTAATAAAGAACAAATCCGAACACGAGGGTAATACAGATCTGATCTGGGTTCTCTATCTAGTTAGTGTGCATCCCGCAAACCGATAGGTATTATGATGTGGAATCACGGGAAGTGGCTTCACTAATAAACGTCAATTGTGCCAAGCACAGTATTCAGTATTCAGTATTGTACGTGACTGACGACGTCATCGCATAGCCAAGCCCCCGAGTTTCTGCCATTCTCTCTCTCTCCTGCCCCTTCCACGTCTTCCTTCAATTATTCTGTTTCACTCCCAACCTTATCATTTTCCCACAATTAATGACATCTCTTCGAGAAGCAGCCCGCCCATCAAATAGATTGATAAATGATGGGCGCCGAAATATCTACAAAAATGTCACATTATATTAAGGGGTTGACAGAAGTCGACGCCGACGAGGTCGAATCTATCCACGACATTGGACCCCCGCCTTTAGACGAAGACTACGTGAACCCAGCAAACAAGAGTCCGCGCTGGCTCCTCAGCTTCCACGCCTTCGCCCTGCGTCTAGCTGCGTACATCGGCTTCAAGCTCGGCAACCGCGGCGTGTCGTCTCCCACGGAAAGAATCTGGCTAGACTCGACGCTGGGCCGGTGGAAAGGCAAGCGGGTGATCAGCGCAGACATATGGCTCCCAGCCGACACGCCCCATGCTGCGAAGAGACCGGCCGTCATCAACTTCCACGGCGGCGGGTTTATCCTCGGGTCGGGTACCGACGATTCCCCGTGGGCTGAGACCCTCGTCGGCGAGCTGGGCGTCGTCGTCTTCTCCGTTAACTACCGTCTCGCGCCCGGCTACCCGTTCCCGACCCCAGTCGAGGACTGCGTCGATGCAATCATCCAGATCCACGCGCTCGCGGACCGGTATAACGTCGACAGAGATCGCATCGTGCTATCAGGTTTTTCCGCAGGCGGAAACCTAGCCATGAGCAGCTGGCTCGTCTTACAAGATCCAGGACGATGGAACTACGACATCTCCTCGTCTTTATCTTCCTCTACGACCTCGACCTCGACCTCGACCTCGACTTCTTCTCCATCGACGTCTTCGTCTGTATTCCCGTCAACTTGCGCAGCATCTTTACCACTGCCTAGAATCGCCGGACTCGTCCTTTTTTACCCCATGCTCGACTGGACGTTAGATAGACCGCAGAAGCGCAAGGTCTGCCAACGTCCGGATCTGACACTCCCTGCGGGTCTGACTGACCTCATCGACGCATCCTATCTATACCCGCCTCGCCCGCGACGCGAGCGTGATGATGTGCGCCTCTCGCCGGGCTTGATGCCGGATGACATGATCGACCGACTTCCGCCCGTCCACCTCTGCCTCTGCGAGCACGACATGTTGCTTGCCGAGGGCAAGCTGTTTGCAGAGAGGATCGAACAACGTGGTCGACGTGTCGATGTCCGCGTCGTCGAGGGCGAGAGACACGCTTGGGATAAACCACTGCCGTTTCGTCCCAAGGATACCGCTGTGTTCGAGTACGACGTGGCGATTTCGGCTTTACGGGGCTGGTTTGAGGGGGTGGTGTAGACTCCTCTTCCTATAGATTCCTGTCTTCTTTCTTCTTTCTTCTCTTTTCTTTCTCCTTTCTCCTTATCGCTCGTTTATTGTTTGTGCTTTTGATACATCATGGAGTCTGGCATGGCGGGTTCGGGGACAAGGGGAGGTGTAGGATAAGGGAATTCACGATGGATGACAGATGGGTCTATGCTACTAGGCTACAGGAAGACCAGGTCCGCGACGGTTCACCATCATCTCGATCTAGAACAGAAACAAGTTATCGCTATCGAGTTCACGACAGCCTGCTAGACAGGCCGTGGACACAACTTCTTCACCTCAACATCGAAAGACGATGTTTACCTTTTATGGTAAATAATCTGAGTTTCAGGAGTCTGGTTGCATATCATTTGCGATTATTTTCCCCTGGGTAATTCAGTTCTCAACTCTGCTGATGGTAAGCTGGCAAAATAGAGCACATAAATAGAGCTGGCCCCTTTGCAGAGCTGATGATGATGGGAGGGAAGAGAAAGAGTGTTTGAAATGGAATCAAATGTCAAGGTAGACATTATACAATATACACTTCAAGTGCTTTATTGTCAGGTCCGTTTACCTAGTGTGTCTACTGACGCCATCGAGATCGGTGCTATGCGATTCTTCATCTATTCGTGTGTCGTTCGTTATGTTAACTTTTGGCATCATGGCGTTTTGACGTGCGCCAGTGAGTGAGTCTAAGCACAATGAGTGGCACAAACCAGCCAGAGTTTATGCCGCATTGTGTTAACAGATGCCAAAAAAAAAAAGATAAAAAACGGTGAAAAAAATTCAAACAAAAAAGCTCTGGCCCGGGTTCGAACCGGGGATTAGAGAAGTTTGAAATTGGTGTGGATGGTAGATAATCCAGCCTCAAAATCTCTCGTGCTAACCACTACACTACCTGAGCTTGGGGTTTTATGGTGTGTGTTGTTCTTTTTTTTGAGTTGTGAAATCTTGCATGTGTAAACTCGTATATGTAGTGGGTGGGGGAGGAATAACGTTTTTTTTTTTTTTTTTGGAACTTTTTTCTCCCGGGATTGGGATTGGGAGGGGATTGGATTCTTGTAGGATGGATCGGTCGGTCGGTCCTCTTTAGATGGAAAGAGAGTTTTTTTTTTTTTTTTGATTTGAATGAGGGGAGTTGTTATTTTTTTTCCCCCATCCGGTTCCAGGTTCCAGGTTCCGTTTCCATGGTGATGATGTGTGAAGGTGGACTTGGTGTGTGTATAGCTGTGTCCGTACACGTGTGGGAGATTGTCTTATAGGTAGTCGCATTGCGTGGGGGGGGATAACCAAGTCATTTATACCTATCGACATTCCGCTCTATTATCTACTAGGATTGCCTATTGACTAGGTCAGGTAGGTACAAATAATCTATCTATTCTCTCTCTTAATGATATATAGCATACCCGGTCCTAAGCATGAATATGAACAGTGAACTAGGTAATGATGAGTAATACGGTTAAAAAAATAAAAAGGGAACGAACAACGACAAGACAACGACTCGGATTCGGCGGATTCGGCATTTCCTGCGGGGGAAAGAGAAAAGGCCGTGGCGGGGATGGTTGCTTCCGGGATTAGTTTTCCCCCGCTTCGCCTCTCTTAAGTTATAACTAGAATACATAATACCTCCAGGCGATGGCGACATTGACTTTGACATTCCCCGGGATAGGTATACCTACCTGGGAAGCCACCACTACCAGGCACAATTCTCTAGATCCAGAAAAAAAGGCTTAATACCTCCATTTACTTTATCCGCCCACTTTATAATTGCCGGTAATATTCTAACCTTACAGATCTGGGTTGTAATTTACTAATTATTTACCCTCCTCTACCCCACCCCCGGTTTTCTTTTTCTTTTTCTTTTAATACTTTTTACTTTCCCCTCCCCACTCTCTATTGATAGATATAGATTATAGATTATAGATTTCATCTCAAAAGACCTCATATATGTCCTTCCCTCACACCACATCCGTATTCCGGCATACGCTTCGCACCCTCTTCCGCCATCGTCCAACTATCCCCGGTCCCCATCTCCTACTACCAAAGTCCCCCCTCACGCCCGGCATAATCGCATCGCGCACCATGTCCTCCGCAGTAGCCAAGCGCCTCGCCGGCAAGACCGTCGTCATCACCGGCGCGTCATCCGGCATCGGGCGCAGCACGGCCTTTGAATTCGCGCGGACCGCCGCCCCCGCCGGCGGTCTGAAACTCGTGCTCACGGCGCGCCGTATCGACGCTCTGAAGCAAATCGCGGCTGATATCCAGGCCGAGGTCGGCGGTGGTGATTCCGTGGTTAAAGTGCTACCCGTCCAGCTTGATGTCAGTAAGCCGGAGGAGGTGCGCGCTTTTGTGGGGAAATTGCCGGAGGAGTTTAGGGAGATTGATGTCTTGGTGAATAACGCGTGAGTCCTGGAAAAAAAAATTTAAAAAAAACCTTTTTTTTTTTTGGTTTTGGTTTGATTTTGTTGGGGTCGGGTGTGGTTCTTGGTGCTGTTATATGTTACCCCGCAATGGCGTGATCTCGAAAGAATCGAGTGAGCGCTCGTTTCTTATGAGACGATCGCATACGAAACATTATGAGTTATAACTAACACACACATTGGCACAGCGGCCTGGTCAAGGGCGTAGCCAAGGCCCCCGAGATCGCGGAGGAGGACATGGGCATCATGTTCAACACCAACGTCACGGGTCTCATCAACATGACACAGGCCGTCATGCCCGTCTTCCTGCGCCGTCCTAACGGCGGTGCCGGTGACATCATCAACATCGGCAGTATTGCCGGCCGCGAGCCCTACGCTGGCGGCAGCATCTACTGCGCCACCAAGGCCGCTATCCGCAGCTTCACTGACTCCCTGCGCAAGGAGCTCATCGCTACGCGTATCCGGGTCATGGAGATTGACCCTGGTCAAGTTGAGACGGTATGTCTTCGTTCGCATTCGTTCACGCCGGTAGAGGAATCGTTGTTAACTGATTGATGCTGGGATAGGAGTTTTCCATTGTTCGGTATTACGGTGATAAGGCTAAGGCTGATGCTGTTTACGCGTGAGTACTGCCCATTGCTCCGTCTCTGCTGTCTCTCTCTCTGTCTCTTTCCCTGTCTCTTTCTTCTGGCTAATGACGATAATCATAGCGGATGCGACCCTCTAACGCCTGATGACGTTGCCGAGGTGGTTGTTTTCGCGGCTGGACGAAGAGAGAACGTCGTTGTTGCTGATACATTGATCTTCCCCAACCACCAGGCCGGCGCTGGTGTTATGCACCGGAGGACGTAAGAGGCTGAGCCATTGTATAACTGCCATCCACTTGATAAGACATTCAATAAGCAAGACTTTGCGTTACTACGAAGCATTATTTACGGTGGTCGCCGTGCCGGAGTCTACAAACAGAACGCGTTGCCGCTGGCGCTTGGTCGGCCGTCCAGGGGCGTGCCAGTTGCCTACAATACCTCCCCGATCCTCTGAGTATGTCGGTTACGTGACTGATGAATATGGTGGGCCGAACTGAGGTAGAAGAAAGTTTTACGTGTAAAGAGCGAGAGGGAAGGAATCTAATCATCAAAACATGTTAGCATATTTACATAATTAGGCCAGTGGCATCGTAATGTGAAATTGCTCCGTTCAGCAAACCAGTTTACTCATTCACTGTGTCGGCTTTCTATTTCTGACGCCTCAAAACGAGCCGCCAGGATGGAAAACACGGAAGCCAGCATGACACCCACCACAGCTCCAGCACGAGGCCAAAGCTGTTTAGAGGTAACTCCACAACCAATCGTCGCCGGGCCCGTGAGAGCCTGCTCCGGTAAGGAAGGGTGGCTCGACACGTTGTGAGATAGTTGAATGGATAAACAAGTTTTCATCATGACAACAAAAGATACAGGCAAAGAGAGGGGCAGATATAGCTTACCATTACAAAATATAATACGCGAATTGTTGATGTTGAGGATTACTGGGCTGCCTACGTGAACCTGAGATATTGTCAGCTGATTGTTGGCGACAAAATGTGAAAAGCGCGTTTGGGAGGGTGTTGGCTCAGAGTAAGTTTTTGGTATATGGGTATCTTCATTTTTGTTCAGAAGCAGAACTGAATGATTTAGGTCTCATCACAGACAACAACATGAAAGGCACGCTCCAAGGTACAAAGAAGCAAATGATAGCTTACCTGCTGATGCTACAATATCTCAAAGGAGAAAGAGCAAGAAAGTGTCGAATCGCGTACATCGCCTATATGGTGCCTAGCAAATATATGGTCAGCCGTGGGCTCGCAATGAATTTTCAGCAAGACGCAGGGTAGATGGTGCTTCAGATGGTAGTGCATGTTTAGTTCAGTTCGCTCAGGATATCGCGAGAACAGTGGATAAAGATTTCGTCAGAAGCGAGAGGCAGGGAGAGACTCGGAGAGCCTATTCGGACTTACATTTGATGTATGGCATCCTCGGGATCGGAGCCCAACGGCCAGAGGCAGGAATCAGCATAGCCCAAACAAAGGAATAGCGCTGTATTCAGCTGTATTCAGTTGTGTTCATCCATGCTACCGCTTCCACCATTTCGCAACTCGAGCGCGCAACATCGAGAAATGCGACTGGAAGATCAAGACCTTAGCGGTAGGCAGGTTAGGTCACGGTGGTGAGGAAAGGCGAAGAGAAAGAGGAAAGGGAACGAAACCACAAATTTGTGTTCCATGAAATTTAAGCAAAGCTTTAGCTCGCCCCGTGGCGCCTTATCTAGATTGGAGTGGGGCCCATATCTACACTACTTACATAAGTAGGTATCATTTATTCTAGATACTCTGTACGCCAAACAGATAGCGGGGCAATCGATAAGCCACGTTAGTGTGACCTTTAGATAAGTAAGGACCCATTATGATTCTCAGGATGCTGCGTCTTGCTGCTGCGACCTCCTAGTTTCCACCCCAAGAAACTGCTAGGCCTGCCCTGCTACCGCTCTTCAGCCCCGGCAGTCTAATTGCAGTACTGATCTTGGTCACAATGGCTGATAGAAGGCGCATTAATGGCCCTGTGGGAGATACCCTTCCTCCGGTCTATGACGCTGCTTCTCCACCTCAGCGACTCGCCGAGAAGCCAGAGAATGCTATTCGCAAGGTTTGTACGTGGTGAGCGACGGCGTGATGACTCCTTGTGTCCTGCCACTTGCTAAACTCAAGAATTCATAGACTTGAAAACTGGCGTAACCCCTTCCGCGTCCGGCTCGGCCTACCTTGAGTTGAGACATCCCAATGCGACGGAGGGTCAAAACAATACAAGCCTCAAGTTAACCTGCACCGTCCATGGACCACGAGCTCTACCGCGATCCGCCCCTTTCTCCCCTCACATCATCCTCACGACTCACGTTAAATACGCGCCGTTCGCTACGAAACATCGGCGCGGATACTTGCGAGATTCGACCGAGAGGGACCTCGGAGTCCATCTAGAGACAGCCCTGCGAGGGGCTATCATCGCCGACCGCTGGCCTAAGAGTGGTGTCGATGTTATCGTTACCGTAGTTGAGGGAGACCAAGATCGTCATGCGCCCGAGAATCACCAAGATGACGGCTGGGATACGATGAACGTGCTGAGCGGCTGCATAACGGTGGCTTCGGCCGCAATAGCTGATGCGGGTATTGACTGCGTTGATACCGTGGCCGGAGGCGTTGCAGCGCTTGTCGCTAAAGACGCTACAAGTCCACCCTTTGTCGTTTTGGACCCGGCTATTGGTGACTACTCCAAGATCTTCGCGGCTTGCTGCATTGCGTATCTGCCTACGCGAGATGAGGTTACGAACATGTGGTTCAAGGGTCAACTACCTGGGGCCGATCTTGTTGTCTACAATAGCATGGTAGAGCGATGCTTGGCAGCATGTCGCAATGCGAATCGTGTTATCGTCACGGCTTTGAAGGACACCGTCGGCC